GGGGGGGGTGCACACTCACTTGTTTTCATCATTAAAAGCAGCTCGTTGTTTGGGGTCCTTGCTGGCTGGAGGCGCAGCCCTTTGCTATATTTATTGTCTGTAAAGCAGCAGCTGTCAGCTCTAATTGAGAACTATAGGATGAATGTTTCTGGGCCATTTAATAGCAGGAAGCCTCTTAAGAAAATAATAAATAAAAACAAAGATTATTTTTCTTTTGCAATGCGCCGCTCCTCATTTGTCGCTCTAACCTTTCCGACCTGTTTTTGAAAAATTCTGGGCTGTCAGCCGGAGGATAAGTTGCTTTTATTTTTGAAGGGAGTCAGTGTGTGTGTGTGGGGGGGGGCATCTTTAATAAGCTTATGTAAAGAAGTTGACAGAAGGCTGCAGGCGTCGCAGCCGAAACATAAAAAAATAGGTAAAGCTTGATTACGCGCTCCAAAGAGTTTGACCATCTTTAATCTAGTGTCTAAAAACGGCGCCTTTAATTTAAGCTTAAGTGCAGATTACAACATCACAGGAGGGAAAGTTCAACAACTTTGAGAGTCAGTTCGAGAAAACCATTTTCTTCCAGTCACTGATGTTGACCCGAGCTGACATAAGCCTTTTAATACAACTCCAACAATTCCCTGCAAAGTGTCCTAAACTGCATCACAGTCACATTTAGTTAGCCTCCTGTTTAAAAACCTCCCTGCACCTAAAAACGTCTCACCTTAATGCGCTTTAGGACATCTTAACGCGGATTTATCCCGTCTTAATGATCCTGCAAAGGCACCTTTTGAAGATGTATTTCTGAATCACAGTTCAGAGGTCTGCCAACCCTCACCGCTAATTCTCCAAATCCACTAATCCAACCACAGCAGGCAGATGGAATCATTAAAATGGGAAATATTAGTTGGGGATCTTCGGACGCACAGTGATCTAAAGAGATGAAGAAAATGGGTTTTTGCTTCATGGGGCTGTTTCTGTCTCAAAACCAAAATGCAATTGTAATTTTTTTCCTTAATAGAAGTATTTGCATCTCTTTTCAGAAAAAAAGATGAATATTTACATTAGATTAACTTTAACCAAAGAAACTCTGCAAGCGTGATGCTTGAAGGAAGTCAGGACCTGCCAGCCTTAAAGAAATGACAAGTGTGTGAAACAGGATCACTTAAAGCGCCGCAACTCTTCAACCTTCCCACTTTATCCCAGAAGTCAGCCGAGTCGTGGGAAACTTCTGAAGAGCACAAAACTCTGCTGAAAACGAAGTGTGTCTACATGCAGAAGAGATAAGAAAGTGAGCGACTGAAAATCCTGAATCATCTCCCAGAAAGACGACAAACTGTTGCAAGACTGAGCTAATCTGAGAGAGGGAGGCGTCTGAAAGGCCTCAATATGTCAGCCATAGTGGACAGGCGCCTTATTGGAGCATGTTTACTTCTCCTCTCAAATAACTGCATCTGTCATCCTTCCTTTGCATGTTTGACCTTTTCTTCATCGTTTCTACACACCGAAGGCACAGGACGAGCCGCCGGTTGCTCTGCATGTCAGAGAGTCAGGCTGTAAAGTTTCCACGTTTCTCCTGATCTCTGGCGAAGTTTGGGGCGTTTGCAAAGCGGCGTTGGGTTGTTGATGCGAGCCGAGTTGGGATGATGGAGCTGAAAGGCTTAACTAATTATGGAAAGAGCAGGGGGGGGGCTTCTGTTGCTGCCTGTTTGATCTATAGATTAAAAAAAAATAATAAATTGAATCGTTTCTTCGGTTCCTCACTCCACTTGTTTTTTTTGGAGAATGTTGCAGTCCTGAGTCAAACACCTCTTCCTTCCCACTCCTCCAGTTATTAACTGGATCCAGTTATTAACTGGATCCAGTTATTAACTGGATCCAGTTAATAACTGGATCCAGTTAAACCCGGCTCGTTAATTGCTAATTATTAAGGCAGGAGAGCGTAGCTAAGCTGATCTGATGAGTCTTCACCCAGGAGCTGGTAGGTTTTCCCGTTTCGTATCATTTTCTGGAAGGAGCTTGTTTTCTATGGCCGCTGACAAGATGTACAGAGATCTCCTTAAAAAGCGAGGAAGGACTCCCTTTATTCCACCCCTGTGGGCGCCATCATTAGTTTAAAGCTTAACTAAAGCTTTTCCTGCAGGTGTTTGGTTTTCTTCGCAGTGCAGAAGCTGTTTTTGGCTTTGCTTTGCTATGATTGTCAAAAAAGATTAAACCTTTAGAGAAAAATACTGAAACAGGCCCAGTATGCCTTCTTTGCCAATCTGGAGAGAATAAATGTTTTAAAATATTGGGATCATGGAAAAGCTTGAAGCATTTATTCTTTCTGATTAAAGTGCCACTAAATAGACTTTCCAACCTCTCCTGTCTTCCGTATTTCCCTTACTATTAAAATTATTATAATCCTGAATGTATTTTTGCTTGAAAGGATTTAGATTTCAAAAGAACATATTAACTAAATAAAAAAAAGAAGATATGTGTTTCAGTGGGAAAAAATGTTCTTTTCTTAAAATAAGTGTATTTGTTCTTGGATTAAGGAGATAAAAGAGACATTTTCCAATAGAACAAGACAATTTACAGTTAAAACAAGAAAACACAATTGCATTGTCTTATTTCAAGTGCATGTTATCTAAGTATCTTATTTTAAGAGTAAAAATACTCATTCCATTGGCAAACTATCTCATTTACTCAAATTAAGAGTAAATACACTTAATTTAAGTGATGTTTACTAATTTCTAGATGTTTTTTCCAGTTCACCTTTTACTGTCAGGAGCTGCTGGTTTGCATCTAGTTCACTTTCATCATTTTAACATAGAATGAATCAATAATTGTTGATTTCTTTCTAAAAGCCACTGATTGTCAAATGTTTAGAAAATGTTTGTTTCCAAATTGGTTAATAATTTAGCAAAATGTGGAAGAATTAAAGGGGTCTGAATACTTTCCACTGGTAGTGCATCCCATTGCTCTGTGCCCCCCCCATCCCATGGCTCTGTGC